TCTCACACATTTAGTTAGGCAAACAAGAAACACAGACGGCTGGTGCCAAGTCCGGAACAGAGGATTTGGTATTAAAAGTGTAAAGTGAACATCCTTATCCTAAGACTGTGGTTATTTCACTAAACATTTTGAATGATAAAGAGCCACATCTTTTCATATGAAAGTATCTCCATATTTCTGAGTTGGGGCATAGCAGTATTTTTCCTTTCATTATATATCGTTCCCAGTCTATGGTTATGCTAGCTGTGGGTGATGGGAATTATGGTAAAAATATTTAGAGATTACACCCGCAAGTCTGGGATATCATATCTACAAATCAAGCAGAAGACCCTGATAGCTACATCTGCTTTGAATAGTCAGGTTTTAGACATCAAATATTACATTTCTGAATGGCTGGTGTTATGTCCTGGGCCTGCTGAATCATTCAGCAGGTTCAGAAATGTTGCAAAGAGTCCGGGGCAGACCACAAGGTTGCCCGGGACCATACTGGCACATGCACAAGGCAGGAAACAGCCTCTACAATGATTGGTTGATGTTGTCCTTTGTAAGGACACTATAAAAGGCCTGCGTGCCATTTTTTCTGTTGCTGTTTGTTGGTGACTAAATAAAGAAGATTTGCTGTTCACAATATTCGTTTCCTTGCAATGCCTTTAACCCATGAATTTAACAGCTGGTATTATAGGAGAATCCCTTTCCCATTTCATTTATGGTATTCCTATCTACAGACTTTGGAATGGGCCCTCCCACTTTTATTTGGGTCACAAATTGTTGGGGAGTAATCTATTTATTCATTATATCTGAAATATTTAGTGAACCCATGAGATAACATTCTGATCATATCTAACTGCATAAAGTTGTTAGTTAAATGAAACTTAATTGATTCACATATACCAGGTCCACCAGGTGGACCATACCTGGAAATAAAATCAAAAGGAAAGATCAAAAATAATTTTAAAAAATACTTTCACTGAGAATACGTAACTATAATAACAAAATCTTAAAAATCCAATTTTACTGAACCTCCTTCCTCCCTGATACCACTGAGAATTAGGACGACGTCTATCTGAGCTGCTTCTGAATACTATTTATCTGTTGTGGACTTAAAATACTAGAAGCATTCCCATTTCAAAACTGAATGAGTTCATATTTTAAAGTCCCGAGTTTGAAAGTGCAATTTAACTTTAAAACATAAGAACAAAAACTTGATATCACTGTTTCAGATTTAAATAAAAGAAATCTACATATATTGTATTGAATTATATAATAAATCATTTATCAGGCATTGTCAAATATTATTACATCTTAGGTTTTAAATGTTGAATTCTGCATGCCTGATAACTGTTAAAATACTAAATGCCAATGTAGAACAGCTCTTGGATAGCTTCAAAAGCTGATCTTCCATCCATCTCCTTTCAAACACTGCCAAATATTGATTAGTATTGTACTATACAATATTTGGTTTTCAAATGCTGAAAGGATATTCAAAATATTTACAAACCAAGATCATAGTACAGATGTCATCATCAATTGCTTTACAAAGCATGTCTTACATATTCCCTACACCGTACTTGTTTTTCTTTACATTTGTCAAAATAGTTTCTCCTATCAAAACATATTTTCAGAGAACTATTCAGAACACAGTCTAGGAGAAATTGTGTAGTGTTCTGTTTTTTATTTTCAAAAAGTATTGTATTTGATTACACCGTGGTCAGATTAAGAATTACAAAAATTTATCAGGTAATACCAGTCTTTATACCTTTTTTAAATTCAAAAATATGTAACAAAATTTTAATATAGTCATAGTTTTCTCTTAAAACAATCAATTGGCCACCCTAATGAAGTACTATAAGAACCACAGAATCAGTGGTTCAAGTTACAGCCAACCAGATTTATTAAGTAGGCTTACTTTAAGAAGACATACATATAGATAATATCATTAAGCATGCCTCACTTTGCCTTTATCAACTGAATGTTTATTAAAAAAAAAAAACATACCAGACTGCTTGCATTCAGATTTTGAAAGGACATTGCATACAATGTAGGCAATCTTCCTCTCTGAGTGTAGTTGAACATCTAGGACAGTGGTGGCGAACCTATGGCATGGGTGCCAGAGGTGGCACTCGGAGCCCTCTCTGTGGGCACTCGTGCCGTCGCCCCAGTCCTAGGCTTTCAGTTGGGTTTTATAAAACCTTTTTGTTTTAGGCCTCCGCTGCCATGTACAAAAAAAAAAAAAGGTTCAATCAATCAGTCAATTTCAACTTCTCATTGAAAAAAGATCTTGCAAAGTTGGAATTGATTGATTGATTGAACTGTTACCACCGCAGCCATGCCAACCCAATGGGCCACACCCACCCAATGGGCCACACCCACCCAATGGCCACGCCTACCCGGCACCGGATGATGCATAAGTGGGGTTTGGGTTGCAGTTTAAAAGGTTCGCCATCATTGATCTAGGATCTTTGAAAAAGGACACCAGGTCAGAGGTCAGAGGTTATTAAGCCCTTCTGCAGTTGAGACTTAGTCTTGGTTAAAAAGGAGAGAGCTGGGATAACTGGAACTGACTGAAATCTAGATGACTTGTATAATGGCTGTCATGCTTACATAGGTTTCTCACTACAGTATCTATCCATTCATCATCTATGTATCATTTATCTCTTTTTCCAGCCCAAACTCTTATAGCTAAGGTAGATTGCTTATGTGAATGAAAAGTCAGTGGTCAAGATGCTTCTTCTGTAGCATTTTACATTCATTTGCAGGTAAACACATAAAGGCAGGCTCCAAACCAAGAACAACCAGGCTGGTTACAGCTGTGCTGTGCTGTCATGTATCCAGATGCATATTCTGTAGAGGAATGTTTGCTATAGAGGTTTTACTTCTCTACAACTTTACCACACCTCATAAAATTGTTTTTGGCATACATTTGCATGCAAAAGTTTGGACAAAGCTTATGCTTTAATGGATCACTAAGTAAAAACAAAGGCCTCTACATGGAATCAATGATAACTTTTTGCAAGTTCAGATGTTTATATTTCTTATACATCAACTTCAGCCCCAGATGTTTGTAGCTAATTGTGTTCATAGTTTCTTACATGTACATTATTTAATTTCCCAAATTATGCAGCAAAATCTATGTTTTGACCATAAGAACATACCAAAATCTACTGTAGATAGATAGATAGATAGATAGATAGATAGATAGATAGATAGATAGATAGATAGATAGATAAATAGTTGATAGACAGACAGACAGACAGAGTGACTTATAGACAGACAGATACACACACTCTCTCTCTCTCTGCATTTAAAGAGATTCTTTCTTGAAGCAAGAAAGCACCCTGGATGGGATGTGTGTACAATTAAACAAAGCAAACATTCAAAAGAAGGCGAGGGCATTTGCATTCTTCTTTGGGCTTCCCAGGCAGGGAGATGTTAGTGAATCACATGCAGAAAAGGTCAGGAAGGGCCAAATCTCCCGCTGGGGCAAATGGCAATGAGATAGTTATATTAAACATCAGTGTGGCAATGCCAAGAAAACAGAGCAATACTATCAATAGAACTGCTGTCATTATGAGACACATTTTATTCCTGCCTTCTTCCACAGAAGCAATAAGCATTTAGCTCTCCCCATTTTAGACTGTCATCAACCCTTAAGAAAGAGTATACAAGAGCATAATTGGCTATAAATCACCCATGAAACTTGATACTGGACAACTGTTTGAACAATATACCTTATCTAAACCTAATCTACCATTTGGGTTTAATAATTGCTACACTGGAGGCTTGGGTTCAAATTGCTACACAGAGGCTTGGGTTCAAATCACTGATTGGAAAACCTTGATTTTTCTTAGATATATTAATGAGGAAAACAACAACCAATCTTTGAAATGACAACTTGATCTGTAGAAATCAGACTTGCTATTTTGCTAAATATGTAATAAACATCTTTTCCCTGTCATTAAAATGGTATTGAAGTAGAAGCCAGCAAGAGACGAAGAGGTATGAGTCATTTTAGATGCTTTGGGGGAACTTCAACCTAAAGTTGAAAAATAATGATTTTGTTTTCAGTGTCCGTGTTCAGATTAGTTCTGCTGTCTTGCAGAAGCACAAAGTAGGCTTACAGAATGCTTAGTTATTTGTTAAATTCCTACCCCAAATTTCCTCTTAACACTTTCTCTTCTGGGTTCCACAAACAATAACTTAGATGGGCTAAGACAGAATGACTACTCCAAAGTCCACCCAAGTGAATTTCCATAGCTGAGGCAAACCGGAGTCTGGTTCTCCCTACTCTTAGACCAACATCTTAACCCCAAATACTGATACAACCACTAGTGGGATTCTGATATGTGAACAACCGGTTCTCTGTGTGGATGCCACTTCCGGAAGTCCATTCTTGGCCTGGGCAACAAAATTAGCTACAGGTTCTGCCGAAGTGATGCGGAACCAGCTGAATCCCACCACTGGATACATACAACTCTTGGAATTGTATTTTAATTTACTGACTTGAATGCTTTGAATGGAAGGAATTAATGCAATAGATTATTAAAAATACTGAACTAGACTCTGCCTAGGTTCCTGTTCTTGTGCAAGGCCCAACCAGTTGCTTTCAATGGCTTCCCAAAGCAGCTTTCTCATCTTGTCTCTCTCACACTCAGTACAAGGTAGTAGGTTCCTGAGGAGCAGTGACATGAATTTCTTACCTCTTTAATGTGCAATATTCAGTGGGGATGATAAGACAAATATAGCTGCACTCACATTACCGTATCAAGCAATCGCCTCCCTGAGTAACATAAAAAGACAGCACTGTGTTCTGTCCAAAAGCTCTATCTTTGTAAGCCTACTAAGGCCTAATTTTTAGAGTAATGTTCCACATCACACTCTTGTGCCATCCAGCTTGTATTTACCCAGCCAAGGCCTTTTGAGTTCAACCCCAGGGCTCCTGTTCTTACTTTTTATTTTGCAGCTAAGGTAGAAAAAAAATCCCTTTTCTTTTTCTTCCACAGATTAGCAGCTCATCAACTCCCTGGTGTCCTTAGCAAACAGAGTCTTCCTTGCTGGGGAAATAAAGTTTGCCTTGTAATGCGGATGTGATCCTGCAGAGAAAAGGGAGGGAGTTTCCGGGCTTTGCCTGAAGCACAGCTGTCTTCTTTCCTTCTGCTACCAGAGCTATAGAATGGATGGAGACTGAGTGTGAGATACAGGTGAGCAAATAGTATCTGGGAGGTGAAAACTACCCTTGGCAATGATGCATGTTCTCTCTAGAGCAGCAGTTCTTCAAGCATGGTCTTAGGATCCCTGCGGGTCCCTGAGACCCTTTCAGGGAGTCCACAGTAAATATTTTAAGACATTTCAGCTTTAATTTCTAATATAATAAGTATCAATAATTACAAGCAAATAAATCTGAACTTTTAGGAATGTAAAGCATCATTTTACATCATTTTTAGGAATGTAAAAGGTCCTGAGACCAAAATGTTGGAGGACCACTGCTATAGAGGAACATGTGAACATGTAGGCCTGCTTATGGGTAGTAGCTTTCAATCTTCCAACTTCTAGGAGTATTTTACAGTATGCATGTTCTTGCTTCCCTAAGATTTTTTTTCAGTGTCACACAGAGAAACTACCTGGGTTGTAAAAAATGCTGGTTATGGTTTACACATTGGACACAAGTTGAACCTCACATTGTTGTTATATGTTTTTATGGGCCAGCATCCACCACAGACTTTAAGTGTGATCTTCACTCAACAACCACAATGGTAGGGGGTAGATTGGGAAGTCAGAGGAAAACAAAATGCAAAAAGTATGTAGACAGTGATAATATGTGGAGGCAAATAGCTGCAATGCCAATTAACAAGCCAGTGTTGGTAGGTCACACAATGCTTCTGCCATTGATAAAGTAATTAACAGAAGTGGTGTGATAAATTTCCTACCCTCAGTTTAAGCTTAGGTGACAGAATTGAATCTTCATGTCTCCCTGATAAATCTTCAAGGACCCAAGATCTTGGAATATAGTTCAGAAATTAGGAGCAAAGGAATATCTTTTTCTTTTTCTGAATGAGACAAGAATCAAAGCATATAAATCAAGAGTCCCCAACCCCCGGTCCCTGGACCAGTACCAGGCCGCAGCATGCCAGCTACTGGTCCGCACAAACAAGCAAAGCCCCATCCATGGGATGCAGGCAGCACACAAAACCACGCACTTTCCGATCCATGGAAAAACTTTTCTCCATGGAACAGGTCCCTGGTGCCCAAAAGGTTGGGGACTTCTGATATAAATCAAATTAAGATCTGTATATTATTTAGATGGTACCATTTAGATCAGTGGTTCTCAACCTTTTTAATGCCACAACCTCAACCGGTCGTAAGTCGAGGACTACTCAACCGGTCATAAGTCGAGGACTACTCAACTGGTGCAGCACCATTTGCAGAATGGGACTTTTGGCGGGCTCAGCAAGGCAGAGACAGCCTGGACAATTCCTATTGGCTTTTCGAAGCCAATAGAATTAGATTCTATTCAAGAGAGTCTATTCTATTGGCTTTCAAAAGCCAATAGAATAAAAGGGAGTAGCACAGCTAAGGAAAAGGGGAAAAAAATAGTGGACTGCATTGTTTGGCGACCCCGGTGAAATGGTCGTTCGACCCAAATGGGGTCCCAACCCACAGGTTGAGAACCACTGATTTAGATGGTGCCATTTCGATGGTATCTTGATATTTAACAATACAGACTCCTTTACTCTTGTCCATATAGTTTATTTGGAAAAATATCCAAGTAGTTCTCCACTGTTTTTTTCCAGAAGACTTTTTCTACTTCCAAGTCTAGTCTATAGCTCTGGAATTTTCTGATGGTCTCCAATTCAAATTGGAGTTGAAGTCCACAAGTCATAAAAGGGCCAAGTTTGAAGACCCTTGCTCTAGCTTATATCAGCTGAGGAGAGACAGCTCACGGATCAAGGCAAATATACATGTCCCGGAATAATGTTGCAGGATCCAGTCTGGGTTAGTCACGGGGAGGTTTTGGTTTTCAAGCTTTCTGACTCCATGCTTAAGACAGCTCAGCCTAATTTCTTTTCCGTGCCACCATTTCTATTATATACTGTTTTCTACATCTTCAGAATCTGTCTCACTACTTGCTATCAGTCCAGATATCTTACATGAATGTCATTACTTGAAATCATCTTGGCTATGGAATTACCCAGGAAAATAGAGAAATATGGTCAGATTCCATCAGGTAACATATTTTATTCTGAGTGAAAATGAAAGCAATTGGCATTTGCTTTTCCCAGCATGAATGGGAGGGGTAAAAGGAGCAGAAGAATCTAAAAAATTGGAGGTTATAGTAATCACCATCCAAACAACCTAGTTAGCCACACTTGAAATCTTGATAGCAATTTTTTAAGCTGGCTTCATTTTGAGCTGGTTTCAGCACAGAAGATAAGCTTCTTAAGGCTGCTGTGCAGAAGAGCACTCCGATCTAATTGTGACTTTTGGGCCAATACTGTGATACTCTGCAGAACTAGCTGAGCTTTAGGGACTGCCATCTTCAAGCAATGGAAGGAAATATAATTAGACAGGTATAAGAGCAGGCCTATTCTCCCTCTCTTGTGTGTGTGTGTGTGTGTGGATGGGGAGTAGCATTCAGAGGTGTAGTTTTAGATGGAGGTATCAGGGATCTTTTCAGTCTTCAACCCTCCCTGATTGTTGTTTCTCTTTCCCTCATGACACCTTCTTTGAGGATTTTCCTACCAGTGCAATTCCTTATGTCAGAATGGGCCAATCTCAGAGACTGACAGGGAGATCCCGGAGGAATCTAACACCATATTCCACTCTCTGCATTTATCATATACATCAAATAGGCAAGTATGTGTCTAAACAGATACAAAGAATAGCCTTCCTTTATAAAGATTTGTTGTGGAGGGCTTTCTTTTTTTTTTTTTTAGTAAACATTGCAACTGGAGATCTAGTTGAGTGTCATTCTAATCTATTTCTTACTTAGTGGTCAATTTGTTGGCGACATCTACTTGCTCCGGTTTGCTCTTCTTACAAAAGCAAACTCAAGAGAAATTATTTTTGCTAATTCCAAACAGAAATTGTCTGAATAAAAGCTTTTGTGGCATCCTGAACCCCTTTAATAGGTTTTTGTATTTAAAAGAAATAATAAATGCTTAATTTGCCAGGTACCTGCAGTGGGAGGAGAGTTAGCCCACATTAAAATAGAAGGCAGATAGATGGAAAGATAAAGAGAAACCAGGGATGGATTCAGGGCTAAACATGTCTTATTTAAGGAAGGGTCATATTAGGAAAGAGAGTAAATGGCTGAGAGCTCTCACCACCGGGACAACAGCAACACTCCTACCGGTATTTACATTTCTGTCTATATGCACCCTAACTGCAAAGGTACATTGTCAAAGAGTGGCTTGGGGCATGTCATATTGCTACATTGATAAACAGGATTCAGTCTGATCATGGGCAGAAAATTATCTGGGAATTCATGGAAATAAGTGTGAACAGTGATTTGATATTAACTAAGAAGATGAGCTGGGATATTCAGACATATCTGAATACATTCAGGCAACAATATGATGTAGGCTTATATAGAAATAAACTCACGGATGATAGCAGGATCTGCTTCCGAGAAAAAAGGGGTAAGTCTGTGGGCACCCTCTATAAATTTCTCCCACGAGGCTTTGGTAGTTTAGTTTCCATCTATTCTATACCATGATGGTAATCAATTATATTGTCTACTTCATGGGAATGTATAAAATGCATGAGAGCTATTCTGATCATATGATACATTGTGATATGATAAATTCCAAACATTGTTGGTATTGTTGTCATCCAAAAGAAGTTCAGGCCTTTCATAAACACTACACTGCACTGCTACACTGCCCCTGTTTTTGGGTATCAGATGGAATCTTTAGGATACTTCAGACTTGGCATAAAATGTGTTGTCAGTACTGGAAACATGGTGTCCTGAGAGGCAGACCTCTTTGGGCAACATTAAGTGTAACAGAGTAAAACTGGGCTTCCAGAAAGTTAATCAAAGTAATGACAGCTTCTTGAAGTGCTTATGTTCAGAGCCCTATCATATTTGGATGCTCCTATGCAGATGCTCAGTTGATCTCTTTTTCCAGCATTTTGAATTGCCTCAGTAGGGCTCAATATACCCTTGACTACTGTATGTCTGCCCCTGTTGATAGAAGACAAAACCAGCCCCACTAAAGGCCCTGTTTCAGTGGACTGAAATCCATCAATCCTCTTACCTCAGATAGTGCTGGTCACAGGTGTAACTCGCATCATCATTGTTCCTTGGCGTTTTGGGGACCAGCATGTATAGCACCGAGATCGTTGTTTTTGCTCCAACATATTATGGATTTATCAGTACCAGTTCTCATCACAATTATTTCCAGTGGGAACCAAGAACTGCAGAATTTTCTCCCCAAAAACAAACAAAAAACCACCGGCTGGACAGCAGGGGAAGATGTTCTGGGTGCCCTCCCCCTTCGTACACTGTGAGAGCCACAACTCCGGACCCCTTTTAGCACCCGGGCTCTTCCTTGAAATCTGTATAAACATTTTGCAGAACAAGAGAGCACTTCTCTTCCTTTGTGCCGCCAACCTTATTTGAATGAAATAATTCTGTTTGACTACAATATACTATTTCAACAGTTTTAGGTTGCATGTACTTATTTCAGGTTGATTTTGTTTTAATTTAATCACTTAATGGGAAATTGCATTTCCAGGTATAAGAAACCTCTAAATGGTCTGATTAACATTTTAGATTCAATACTCTTAACAGAAAAGTGTGCAATTACCCAGACAAATTATCCCAAAGAGCAGGTGGGTATGAGCTTCTCCATCCCTTATGAGAGGATGCATGAGGGGAAGAGTCTTAATCATTCAAACTAAATCCTAGACTTTTTTTAAAAAAAAGTTTTTACAAATTAAGTGTACCCACTTATTCACTCTAGCAAGTAACGCTTGTTTTGATCCTATCAACTGTCCTATAAAAAGACGATGTATTGGTTCAAAGCAAGGTCTTATTTATCCAGAGTTCTAAAGCCTTATATAGAACTGAACAATATGTATCAACAGTGAATTTCTATACACTATTTTCAAGTTATTCCATTCCTAAGAGCAGACTATATTTTGTTGTAGACGAAATCACTTAGATAAGGTCCTTTTGGCTTCAGAGAAATAAGTTGTTTGAGTCTCTTAAGTCTCTATTTATTTTATACCTCTAAAGCCAATACATATATTTTACAGGTTACTCTCAAAGTTCTCATCCCAGGGAAAGACATAGAAGGTGTAACTACTCTCTAGCTACATCTGTAGTCAAAGTGCATCAGCATTCTGTAACTTGGGCAGTCCCAAACTTTAGTATGGGAATAAGTAATACAGCATTTACTCACAGTACAAAGTCCTGGTCAAAGGTTTCCACCTGGAGGTTCATCAGGGCAATTGCAGATATTTCATACAACTGGAATAATTATGGTTCACCTAATGCAGAAATGAATAATTCCCCCTCCATCCTTCTCCAAACATTGATGTGGATGTCAATGACAATTGTTCAATATCTACATCATATAGCATTAGGTTTTACAGCAGCCTTTAAGCATTTGATAGCATGTCAGTATCTGACAGCTGAATATATAATGGTCATCAATAGCTGGAGACAATTGATATGTAGCAATTAATGTTTGATAGTTTCTGAAATATAACATTCAGGGAAGTATATTATATCTTACAGTACAACCATTCACCATCAGAAGATATGATTATTGCAGCCAGAATCTCTACCTTTAAATCCAGATTAAATTTTCTTTCAAAAATTAGAACAGCAAGTTGTGCAATTTAAGCTCAGTATCAAAATGTGAAATCTAAGTTTATGATTAATTTTGAACATTTGTGAATGAGTCTATGAACATAATAATTTCTTCACTGCAGTTATAAACATCTTTCCACTTTGAAATTACATTTTTAGGTCAATTCTGTGAAAAGGAATTATTCAACCTCCATAACATAAGGATAGTGGAAGTTAGCTTTATGTCCTCCAGTTGTGTCAGATGATGGACCCCATCGCCTCAATGGTCGGAGATTAAAAGAATTGTTATTTGATATATATGAGCCAATGGAGAAAGGTACCATAGAACGTGTGTGTAAGTTTGTGTCTGTGTCTATGCGTACCTTCAAGTCAATGTTGATTCCTGACACTGACACTAGTAGATATTTTACCTTCTGTCTCTCTCTCTCTCTCTCTGTGTCTCTGTCTGTTTCTCTCTCTCTCTCTCTCTCTCTCTCTCTGTGTGTGTTTGTTTCTCTCTCTCTCTCTCTCCACACAGCTTTAAGTCAGGTTTGACTCCTGACACTGCCTGGACAAGTCCCTGCAGTTTTCTTGGCAAGATTTCAGAAGTGGTTTGCCATTGCCTCCTTCCTAGGACTGAGAAGGAGAGATTGGCCCAAAGTCACCCAGCTGGCTTTGTACTTAAGGCAGGACTGGTCTCTCATTTCTAGCCTGAACTACTAAACAAAACTGGCATATCAACCCAAATACGTTACAACTTCACAAAGAAGAAATTATATTTCAACGATTATCAAATATTTCCTGGCTAATGAGGAAGCTTCAAATATAAAAATGCTGAGATGTTATTAAAGAATAAATTTTGCTGAGTTTTCATTTGGATTCAGAACGAAACTCAAGACTGAGTTCAGGCGAAACTCTCTTCATTTCACCTTCACAGGAAACATGCTGCGCTATTCTGAAGTTTTTTTCTAATATTTTTAAGTAGCCCTTGTGCTTAAAATATCACCAAGGCAAGGTGATAACCTAAGGTGCTATGTGGGGCTGAGATCTGGTGGTGGGATGAGAAGGTTATTGCTGAATTGGAAGTAGTACAAAACAAATTTGGAGGTAGGGTAACCTTTCATCACCCTTAGAGATCATCTTGCATTTTTGAAGCACTATAAGAAACTAAAAAGCCTTCAGTAATCCACCTTATCAAAATCTGTTTTCTCAGTTGGACCAAGCTTTTGTCCTCCACCCTATAAATGTCCTTGCTAACATCTGAGGCAGGACATGAGAGATCCAAGCCAAGTCCAATAGTTTATGCTATTCTATGTATCTAGGATCCTTAATTTAAAGTCCACTAACATACTTTTAAAAATCATTATTTTATTTAAAATTTGTGGCTTTCTTTTTTGAATCTTTTAGTTTTGATCCATAAGTTTCAGTTTTATGAATATGGTTTATTTTTTGGTGTTGCCTTGACTCAGAATCATGCTGGGACTTTCCAATATAAAATTATACTATTTTAGTTTTTGTGTAGTGCCACTGTTATTTGTACCACGAAATATTAAAGGTCTGAGAAGTATATCCAAGAGGGTTTTTTTTAATATAAGCTGAAAGACTGGAGCCTGAAGTAATTTTTCTGCAACATCTATATTATTCTTGATGAAAAAATATACTTGTAAAGAAATGGATTGATCAGATACATATTAATGGTAATTTGAAAATGGCCAGAGGAGTTGCTATATTAAGAAATCTTTAAATTCCGTAGTTGAACAAGAAATGTTTGACACATATTTTTCTCTCTTAGAAATGATGCTGTTCAGATGCTTTTATTAATTTTTATGATCTGACCAAAGAGAAAACTAAACATTTTATATAATGGTGTTTTAAAAAATATTTTTTAGTTTACAGGGGGAATATACAACAGTAGCTGAGGATTTTACTTTAACCGTATTTCTATGAAAAACAAAACATAGACTTGAAGTGCCCCTCACTTTATATTCAGGAATTTAGTTTGGCCACTATATGAATACAAACCTGACTCAAGAATATACTTTTTTTTTCACACATTCATGACATACAGTATCTTCACATTTGAATTATTTTTTTTATTATTTGAATCAATAGCTAACAGGATTGTGAGACAGTTTGCATTTTACTGTAAGAAATGTCAAGATGAGGTAATTATCTATGGAGATTCTCAATCATCCAGGTCATGGTTGTCCCCAAAGTGCTTTTTCTGGACTTTCTTGGAGTTTTTTTTTTCCTTTGAAAACATTTCATTTCTCATCCAAAAAGCTTCTTCCCTTCTGACTGGTGAGAAATGGAAGGATTTATATTCTTTGTACTCATCTGGTCATTAGCACTCTAAGAATCGGTCCTTAGCTCTCTCAGAGTAGTTGAGGCATTTTGGGGATTTATCTGTATCCTTAGAGCAGGGGTCTTCAAACTTGGCCCTTTTATGACTTGTGGACTTCAACTCCCAGAATTCCTCAGCCAGTGTGCCTAGTTGAGGAATTCTGGGAGTTGAAGTCCACAAGTCATAAAAGGGCCAAGTTTGAAGACCCCTGCCTTAGAGTCACCTGAATCAGAGTGACTGAAGTCCCAAGAAGTTTCCACATCCATTAAACTCTGATTCAGGTGACATAAGGACTACAGTAAATTCTCAATTTTGGATTTTTATAGTTACCCCAAAGCTCAAATGTTGACCAAATAGATAGTTTTTTAAAATAAAGTGAATTTCCCAAGGATTTCTTACGTTCCTTCAAAGGATTTAGCCACTGTTCTAATGACACAGGAATTATTTGATACGGTTGATTCTGTGAATCTGCTGAGCCTGTGGGTTTCCTTTAGAACAGTATAAAAATATAAGGAAAGTATAAAAATGTATAAAGAAAGGTTGTTAGAGATATACTATCTTCCAAAAATGGAGATTTCCTTTACAGTTGTGTAAGACTTATATGCTGGTTATCTTAAGAATAGGAGAGAATTCTACAAATTCCAAATGTCCAAAATACCCTATAAAATGGGAATGCAAACTTTTTTTTTTTTGCAAATTGAGGTTACCAAAGGTTCTACCATCCATTAGACATTCTGTACAATCTTGTTTTATGAAAGGGTACCAAGTTTCTGATAATATTAGATTATTGATGGAGATTCCAACAAATCTTGAAATAGCTTTGGTAGTTTTGCTGGCTACAAAAAAAAAAAAACATTTGATATGGCACAGATTAAATTTTTGGAACATGTTCTAGAAAAAAAATGGATCTGCTCCCCCATCTCCCCCCCCCATGGATATGAACTTGTCAAGGATATCTCTGGACTTCTAGTGATATGGTAATGAGTGTCCCATTCTTGAATGGGGCAACACACTTATGCAGCTGGGATAAAAACCTACCAATCTAGGCAAACCTTTTGTTGTTGTTGTGCCTTCATATCAGTTCTGGACAAGTCCCTGAAGTTTTCTTGGCAATATTTTGGAATTGGTTTGCAGTTGCCTTGCTAACTCAGTCAGGATAATCATTTTTTTAGACTGAGCTATTAGAAAACCCAAAACTCTCCAGTTTTTTTCTCTTAGACTGAGGGTAACCTGACCCATTTGTGAAATTCCAAGTGACCTGCATCATATGGAGATCTAAAACAAGTAACTTAATCACTTCTGCTGTTATTTATATTAAATTCTGATCAATATTATATCAAACATAAGATAGCAGAAGGTATTGGTAACATGAGAGAGTTTTCCCAGTTGATACAGATTAGCTATACTGTATTAAACTATAATGTATTAAAGAGCGACTGAAGAAGAACATATGAAAGTTGGACTTTCTCTTGTTTTAAAGAACTACTGAAGAATTATCAACTTCCCACTATCTCCAGTAGATGGCAGCAATGTATCATAGTTTCTGTTTTATCATTGGTTAAAGTTAATACTAATTTGTTCAAAAGGCCTCTGCCAGCTTCTGGAACAGCTATTCTTGCCTATGGGAACAGCCCAGGTACCTAATCTGTAGACAAAATGTTTTCTGAGGGCACTTAAATCATTCATCCCTGTCTGTTTATATGCCAGGACAGTGTGTATTGTCTGGAATGAGGGCTAGAGAGAAAGCAGCTGCAAGGGTGAATTGAGTGAGGAAATGATAGTTGAAGAAAGAATTTTCCTATGCCCCAGGATTATTTTTTTTTACAAAGTTGCAGTGATTAACATATCTGCAAAAGACTAGGGGGGGGCAGCCCTATTATAAGGCAAAAATACTGGAGGAAGGCAGAACAATGTGTGCTGCATAATTCTAGTGTGTCAACTGTGTCCTCATTGTCAACCTTGGAATGGGGATATCTGCCATGCTATCCCACAAACTCGGGATGCAGAATATCTTGGATCATTTATAATGCTGCACTTCATTTTAGAAAATAGTGTTTTCTTAAGGAAAAGTTTCATTATGACAGACAAAAAGAAGTATTTATAAATCTAGAACCCCTCCACATCTCACTCCCACCACCATCCCTGGATTGTTCAGTTTCACCCTGCAAAAAAAAATTGTGCACAGTTAAGAATCTCACACATTGCACTGCCTGTCATGTATGAGAAAGTCTTTCAATTGTGCACAGTGCTTTTGCAGGGTCAAACTAAACAATCCAGGAATGGAGGTGGAAGATGTGGAGGTTTGTAAAATCATGATTTGTAGGAACAGACTTTAAAAAAAAATCTAGACTTAAGATGACTCAATTCTTAGATATTTTAAGTCTGGTTATATATATATGTCAGTCCAAGTATCCTCCAAAAGTAGAGTTTAAAACAGCAAAATGTAAGTCTAAAAATGTTCCTAGCGGAGCTAGTTCCTTTAATTCCTACTCCATGGTAGGAGGAGGGTGGGAGGACAGGAGAGGAGGAGGAGGGAGAAAAGCTGGCCAAAGTCCTACGAGGGAGCAGAGTCAATAAAGCAACTATGTCCAGAATCAGAAGGGAAAGTCCCCGGACGAGCAAGATGTCAGGAGAAAAAGAAGTTAAGCTCTCATGGGAATTTAGCACAAGGAGAGAATGCCAAGACAATTAATCCTCTCCCCATACATTCAACTATTTTGTTAGCTGAGTTTTTAAAAGATAAAGTAATCCAAGAATAGAAATGGATGAAAGCTAGTAGAAGGAAAGGTTTTCTCAGATATATTATCTGCCCCAGGATAAGTTCTGCCTGTGTGCATTCAGAACAATGAGTTCCTCATCTTCTGATATGTGTTCTACTTTGAAGCCATGCAACTGACCTGAAGTAAACCGGGGCTTTTGCAAGGTGTGGTCACAGTAGCCTATCTTGAGGTAAGTTCAGTCCTCTGTCTTAAAAAAACAAAAATGAATTGCGAGAACTGATCTCTTAGATGGCTTCTTCTCACTGCTATCTCATCTCATTGGATAAGATTGTAGGGTTTTCTGCCCCTAAAAAAATGCAGTCAGCAGAGACTTAGTTGGTAGTAGGACTGTCTGGTGAGTTAGTTGTGGTGGTGCAGTGGTTAGAATGCAGTACTGCAGGCTACTTCTGCTGATCTTTGGCTGCCTGCAGTTTAGCAGTTCTATTCTCTGCTCAAGGTTGACTCAGCTTTCCATTGTTCTGAGGTCGGTAAAATGAGGACCCAGATTGTTGGGGGCAATATGCTGACTCTGTAAACCGCTTAGAGAGGACTGTTAAAGCACTGTGAAGCAGTATATAAGTCTAAGTGCTATTGCTAAGTGCAATTGCTATATACAACAAAAGTCAAAAACATTGTTTTTCAGGTAGATTGCTTGTTACCGACCATGGAATAGAGCTGGTGATTGATGCACATCAACACCAATGAAGGAGATCACAAGTTCCTGGAACCCAAATGTTGGTTGAGAGGAGTAATTGATACTGATATATGTTTGTGTGTGTGTGTATCTATGAATTTTTAAATGTCAGCTTAAAGGGAAATATTTCACTATAATTTATATTATAAATCTCATATATAATAGTTATTATGGAACTGTATTTCATTATAATTTCCTATATTTATAGCCAATTTGTAAGATCAAGTCTTTAATTCACTGGGTAATTTTGGCCGTACATTTGTATTTTCAAGATAGAAATCTCTTGATTGCAATAAGTGCTTGGAAACTCCATTTCTGCTTCCAGCTGCAAGTTTTTATGTAATAGCTAAGTTAACTGCTAAGTTAAAAGGATATGGGCATCAGAAAATATTCCATCTTCAAATTAATATCTGTAATTACTTCTTTACAAAACATCGTAACTTTAGGACATGCAAAAATATATTGTAATGAAGTGTTGTTTATTTATTTAGAAAATTTACATGGCCACCCCAATCATTCTTAGTAACTCCAGGCAGCTTACAAAGCTAAAACCCCAATACAAAAACAATAATAATTCTTCCTGCATGACCAACAATGTAGTGATTTACTTATTACTTTTCTATATAAATGCAATGCAGTCTAGTGAAGGCGTCGGATATTAAGCAACGTAACATGAAAAAGAGAACAAAACTTTTCATTAGAAAAGTTCCTTCATTAGAAGGAAACCAAGAGAATTTATGGGCATTCAAATCAGGAGGAGTAAATACTGTGAATGAAAGAGTTCATGCAACCTAACCAGGACACAAATCATGAAGCTTCTCCAGTACTGCCAACGTATTTTCTTCACATTCAAAAGGGAAATGTATGAGCAAATAAAAGGGACACCAATGGGATCCCCAATATCAGGAGTTATTTCAGAAACTGTCCTGCACGAAGTAGAATACCATGCATTTCAAAACTACACACCTAAATTTTGGTGCCGCTACGTGGATGACACGTTTGTCATCATCAAAGGAAATGCACTGGAAGACTTTCATATGCTACTGAACTCCATCTTCCCAGATATACAATTCACAATAGAGGAAAAAAATGTCTAGACGGTTACCATTTTTAGATATGCCCATCAACAGACAGGAAGATGGAAGCCTAGACACCACAGTTTATTGTAAGGCCACCAACATTCCACGCATTCTTAATTTCAACAGTAACCATCCAAAAAGAGCTGCATCAGAACACTGTATGACAGAGTGAGAACCCGCTATAGTATCCAGCAAGCTAAACAACTGAGGAGAAAGTATCTGTATGGACAATTCAAGCATAATGGGTACCCAAAAGCATTTATTACAAGATGCCTGTGCAAAAATCAAAGGAGAGAAAAGAAAAAAGGTAAAAGACCAACTATATGGCCCACCCTACCATACATCAAAAACAATTCGGAAGCAGTAGAAAGCAGCTTCCGAGATCTGCAAGTGGACATCGCACACTGTCCAGAGGCTACCCATACAAGGACAAATTATGCATTGTAAACATTGTTTGGAGGTGAGAGAAACTTCTAATGTAATCTACTGGATCTTCTGCATGGATTGCTCCTGAGACTATGTAGGACAAACAGGGATGAAGCTAGCCCACCAGAGTGCAAGAACACAAGTGAGCGGTCAGACAAGGAGACCCAAACTCATTGATAGCCTCACATTGCAATGAACAAGGACGCTCATTTAATTTCGCAGCTACTAAGATTGTTGGCCATGCAGATACAAAAACAGCCAGGGAAATGATTGAAGCCTGGGAAATGGGTCCCTTGTCAGTTAACAGGAGTGCTGATTTACCACCAGCTTATCAAATACTTAACAGCCAAGGGCTTGGCAGCACAAGGAAATGACCGTCAATCGCCAGCCATCAACACACCAATCAGCCAATAAGAAGCATCACAGAACAATCCAAAGCATGTATTCCAGTAGAGAGAAGTTCCCTGAAGATGGGCTCCAAAATGAGTCTGAAAGCTTGGAAGAGTAAATTTCTGGTGACCGACCCAAATTCAGTCTTGCATCATTATCCCGGGACATGTGTATTTGCCTTCATTTGTGATAGTTCATACAATTCAACATGACAATTGAGCGATCTTGGTCCAGTCACTTTCTCTCAGCCCTAGGAAGGAGGCAATGGCAAACCACTATAGCAGTGGTTCTCAACCTTTTTAATGCCGCGACCCCCAACTGGTCGTAAGTCGAGGACTACTCAACTGGTGCAGCACCGTTTGCAGAATGGGACTTTTGGCAGACTCAGCAGGGTAGAGACAGCCTGGACAATTCCTATTGGCTTTTGAAAGCCAATAGAATTAGACTCTATTCAAGAGAGTCTATTCTATTGGCTTTCAAAAGCCAATAGAATAAAAGGGAGTAGCACAGCTAAGGAAAAGGAGAAAAAATGGCAGACTGCGTTGTTTGGCGATCCCCGTGAAATGGTCGTTCGACCCCAAATGGGGTCCCGACCCACAGGTTGAGAACCACTGCACTATAGCATTCTGTCCATCATCTCTAAGCTTCTTCCAGCAATTCTCAGCTATGCCAGTTTGTAGGAATGGATTCAGGAGCACTTTTATTTAAGATTTTTTTTCCCCTTTCTTTAAATAGGCAAGAATTCTGACTACCTTTCTGCTTTGTTGAGGAGCCAATCTGTTTGTGTGTGTTTGTGGGGGGGGGGGAATGTTCCATTATTCTGTGGTTTTGGCCTTTCACTCTTGGGCTAAACCATCAGGGCCATACAGTTAAAGCACTTACAATGCAAGTGGCTGAGCATTATTAGGCAACAGACCACCAGCACAGCACAGCTCTTTAGGGACATGATAGCATAAAGGCAAACCATGAGACTGACTGAAGAAGGGAGGAAGGGAGGGACAAGACAAAACACAGCTGTGAAAGAAACTGCCATTTGCAATATTTCCTTTTAATCCAGGGAATTATACAGATTTTTCTTAATATAATAAAACAAGCAAATGTGTACTTGGGAGTGAGATATTTTGGAAAGGTTTTAAGAGCCTAGATACAATTGCATTCAGTTGCAATGAATGGAACATTTTATCCTTGTCCTTAACCAAAAGATCATGGAAAATTGTAAGCCTTTCCAAAAGAAGGAAAGTTCACTAGAACCGAAAGAGAAATATCATCTCCTGTATGATTATGAAATAACATCTGAATGCCATATGACAATTTAAATACAAAGATGAAAGATTAAAAGTTCTCTCAACAAATATTTTTCTCTATGTTCACTCTGTTGAACTTCCTTTGTGGAAAGTTGGGGAAATTATAATATGAGATTGTTCTTCTCCCAATTCGATTAACCCGAAGAAATGAAGCCTCCTACACATTTCCGTTTTTTTTTTTTTTCTTTCCGTCATCGGTTTAAACAACTTCACAGTGAATGACTGGGGCTGATTAGCTACTGTATATGAAAAGAAGAACCGTCCTAGAATATCACAAATGCTCTCAAAATCTTGCAGAAAAGTTTGCTAGGCTAGCAGCAATCTTCCAGTCCTTCTCTACAACTTTTATAATTCCAGTCTTAAATAAATTGGCCCATTGAGACAGAGATTCAAAGGATATTCTTTTATTCTGAAATATTTTATTGGCCTTTAGTAACTCAATTAGAGGTTACTAATCACCTCTGTGATCTTCCAAATGCAGTATTTGAATTTCAGTTGCATTTAATCTGGTACTTATACCCCTAATGGTAATACTGTTTTTAATAATTTTTAAATCCTCCTTTGTTCCAAAAGAATGATCATTATAAAAAGAATGACTTTTTTTCTGCAGCTTTTGTGAGTGTTCTTTAAAATATGAATTGATGGTTATAGAACTTTTTTTTTTTAGAAGTCTCCAAATCAGAATCAAAAACTCTATTTCGAACATTTCAATCACAACAAAATCATATGATTTTGGTTCCAAAAATATATTTAAGTAGGAATTAAACAAAAGGATACATTTTCAATGCATGCCAAGGAATGTCAATATGTTGATCAGTGTTTATCTCAGTTTAGCATCGTCTTGATAGAACATCTCAAAGAAGTAGTGCAAGATCAGAAGATGTGAACAGAGCTGGCCCATCGAATTGCCAAGAGTTGGACACATCTGAATAGATAACATCATCCTCATCACCAACACCATCATCCTCATCACCTTCTTCTTCTTCTTCATCATCATCAACATCATCATCACTGTCATCATCAGAAGCTCAGTGCTTTCTAATAAGAAAAACATGTTTGCTTTATGCCAAATTATTTACAATAAAAATAAATTCATTGTTCTAACTGTAAAAATGGATCTCAGTATAGTAAGTGTAGTTCAGGCTAGATTGTTTTAAGTTTTAATGTCATGAGCATTCAGCATCTCTATAGATGCATTATTTCTATAAAATGAGGAATCTTTGCCTGAGCCTAAAAGGGGAGGGGGAGCAAAAATGCATATACTGAGTGGAGAATTCATTTGTGTATAATGGATCAACCAATTTTAAACTAGGTGAACTCACAACTAAAAGTGGTGCAAAAGGTCCTAAAACTGGATAAAGAGAACCCAATTAAACAAACGAGTCACAAACATTATATTTTGTTTTATTTATTCACTGAAGAAAATATTTCAAAGCTACTTTCTGGGCCTGTAAGTTGTCATTTATTAATTGGAGTGATCTGAACTCTCTGTGCATTTAGTTTCTTAATCATCATATATTTTCTCATATTTGCTGCCAGTGGCGTGAATACAGTCAAGGCAAGGATGGTATCTGCCTTGAGACCTGGAGGCTGCCAGTCTTTAAAAACACACACACAAATTTGGCTTTGGTTGGGGCAAATTAGTGCATATCCAAAAAGGAACCTAGGTATTTGCTTGGAGCCGCAGGATGGGTAAAGGAGGAGAAATAGGTGGGATCTGGCTACTAGGCAGCACAGCAGAAAACCTCAGTGTGGCCTGACTTAGGTATTAACTAGTACAGGGGTCTTCAACCTTGGCTTTGCTGGCTGAGGAATTCTGGGAGTTGAAGTCCACAGGTCTTAAAGTTGCCAAGGTTGTGGGGACCCCTGAACTAGTAGATAGCAATAATGGAATACAGAAAATCCTAACTATTTGCTGCCATCTAGTGAATGAGATGGCTGGATGGAGTCACTAAAGCAGTAGGTGTGAACTTAAATGGACTCCAGAAGATGGTAGAGGACAGGAAGACCTGGAGGAACGTTGTCCATGGGGTCGCGAGGGATCGGACACGACTTCGCAATTAACAACAAGTGGTTATCTGGATTTTGCTGGTCTGGTACTAATGTTACCTGCCAAAGCAAATCCACCCTGCCAAGAGTGCCTAGGGATTTGCCCGATCTGAGCACTAGAACAGATCTTGGAAATAGTTACTAGCTCTTTAGTTTAACAGCTCGTGTCCACTTTTGGACAGAGCTCTACTTTTCTGTGACTTTATGCTTAGTATGTTGACCTTTCTCATCGTGTAATCTTTTTTTTTAAAGAGTTATGAAATTCGTAAAATGTAATTTTTAAATCAAAGGCAACATGAGCAAGAAAAGAATGTTCTGCAAGACAGCTGCATGCACTAAATATTGGACGAGATTAGAGTTTGAGATATTGGTACAGGTGGCCTGTTTATAAAGGAGCACGAACCATGTCTATATGCCAGACATAAGAGCACTGTGGGATTGGTAATCAGTCTTTTGACCATTCACAATCCACACGTATAATTCTGGCTTGAAAATTCAAAGTGGAATCCTAAAATGGAAAAAAAACAACAACACCCAGATTACTGCAGAAATGCATATTTTCCAATTCCTGCTTACTAGGTTATGCCAATACAGAAACAGAGAGGATTTGCGGGAAAGAATTGGCAGCCTTAACCTATTCCTACTCTAAACAATTGGGTACTTCTCTAGATGTACAGATAGAGCAGGCTAGCTGGCCATTTGGGAATCTGCAGGAATGAGAAAACGCTAGTGTGACTATTTGAATGGCAAAGGTCAGCCAAAAGCAGGAAGCCACAACCTTTCTCTGCCATATCAAAAGGGTTAGGAAGCCTTTATGACTCCTCCCTGTGACTTTCATACTTTTGGGTTCAGCAACCAAGTTTTTTCATTTGTTTCTTTTTGGTTAAGAAATACTGCTCCAGACAATAATGTCCCCCTTTTTATTAATGCCAAGGAAGAAACTGCCTTGGTTCAGAATAAGGCAGATTGATAGTAGGGTTTAGGAGAAAACTAGGATACAGGCATCAAGGACACGCCAGCAATGGGAGAGGACTTGATGCTTGTGGATAGGCTTATGAAGATGGGATTGCATCAGAGCATGGCTGATTCACACTGGTTATACATAATTATGCTGTCGGGCAGTATTTGGGAGAGGTCAGTCCCCATCCAGAAGCCTATACGTATTACAAATAACACATAAATATACACAAATTAAACCAGCAACTCCAGATTATAAATTTCCGCTATTTGCTACTAGTTGGATTCTTCAGGCCCATTTAAAAGCTTGTTGCTTTACTTAAAATAGCTCAATGCCTGTTGGTAACTGCAAACCCTTTATGGACTTTTTGATGAAAGTGGGGGGGAAAATGAACTTTTGACTTATGGGTTTGGTGATTAGAAAGGGTAGAATATGGGGGGGGAACAAGCCACAATCAATATAAATACATTTACAACTGTGGTAAAGAAAATTGGAAGCCCTTCTTTTTGCCTTTTTTTCTCCCCTTTTCAATCAATTTTCTTTTATTTCTTTCTCATTTTCTTATCACTTTTGTTTTTCTTTACTTTCTTTCTTAAAACTTTTGTATTGTTTTTATTATGTAAAAAAACCTTCTTCAGTAAAAATTAATTATAAAGAAATAACTCCCCCCTCTTCCTCTCTCTGCCTTATTACAAATGTTTCATTTGCAATTATTATCATTCTTGGACTCTCAGAATTTCCAGCATGAAGAGCCAGATGAGTAGTAATGCCAGTTCCTGCAGCTGGGAAACACCTGGAAGGTAGCAGGTTGGGGCAGGCTGTGTAAAGTCATGGCAGCTGCACTTTTAATAGTAAACAATATCATAACACGACTTGATTATTTTACCTTAGCATCCCAGACAAATCTTATTGGGGTTTATAATTATGGTTTATGCCTGAGGGTGTTATGAGAAGCAAATGACTGTGGCTTATTATAACAAACCATGGGGAAAACAGCCATGGCTGAACTAAAGGTTCATCCACTCCTTCCAAACAGACAGACATCCTGTATTATTAATATTTGAACCATAGAAATAAAAAGAAATTACAAGAACTAAGTAGAAGAAAATACCTACTAACATTGGATGCTGTCTTCATGGTGGTCTGGATCATTGGTCCATTTCACTCAAACTTGTTTTATTCTGATGGATGGCATCATGGTCAAACCTCAGACAAGAAACTTCTGAATATGCCACCAGCAGTTAGTGAGCTGCAACAAGAGTTGTGGCTTCTCTCTAAAATATTTTATTTGCTTTGAAGGGACTCAGGCCTTTCTCAGACTATGTGACATCACCCAATATTGGTTGCCAATCAGCTCTTTACATTTCGAAGCCTGCCATTTCAACCCTAACTCCATTCCTTATTACACAGGGTCCTCTTTTCCTTGCAGGCAGCCCACAGCACGCTATAGCTATTATATATGGCCTTCTAAGGAAAAGAAGCTTTCTTTCTGGGAACTTTAAATAATATTCAGATATGTAGTGCTGCTGTTCCCTCTCTCTCTCTCTCTCTCTCTCTCTCTCTCTCTCTCTCTCTCTCTCTCTCTCTCCATACAAGTTCACACACACAAACAATAACATGCTCACAATGAAAAGAAAATATCCATCAGTATTTACACAGTGAGTTGATTATTTCATTTGTGAAAGATGGAGGAAGTTAAAGGTAGTTGACGCTTCTACGTGTTTGGAAAGATATCAGTGAAAATGTAAAAGAATGTTGTCACAATTTTTCTATGATAGCTGGTGTTTTTGCCAGATGTTCTGGACTTATTGTAATCCTTACAGGGAATGGGCCAAAGGCTAAGAGTTATGAGAGTTGAAGTTCAAAACTGTGTGGGAGGACACTTGCTGGGGGAAGTCTGCAGTATTTGGAGATCAAGGTTTGATCCTGTAACCTCAGCTATTTGATCTATGCTTTCTTAAGTTCAAAAGGAAAATGCTCCCAAATATCCAATTTACCAGAGTGCCAAAGGATGAAATCAGCTGTTTTATTTCCTCCCATAGCAATTAAATATTCTCTTGGCAAGAGAAGTATATTTAAAATATAATCCCATTAATACTTTTGCAACAATACTAGTAGATGTTTATTTATTTACACTATTTATTTGCCAGATGATTCAGACACATCCCTATTCCTTCTCTATATAATGTTGTATTGCTGTGTATTACTACAACCCAAAAACACTTAAAACATTAAAAATCAGACATATTAGATACTTTAAGTCTGATTATATATTATTAAACTACTTTGTTGCTCCTTTTCTCCAATTGCCATCTGAATACAGAGGCCAACAGAAATAATTAAACTGCAGTTTATTCAGTAAACATCTGACTCCCCACAACATTGTTACTGAATAAAATCTTGCCAAGCTTATCACATGAGGCTATTAAGTATGAGCTGCAAAAATCCACAACTAACTGAATGGTAGTAAAAAGATATAGAAAACTTTAACTTTTTGCTGCCATCTAATAATTACATGGATTTTTTTATAGCTCAGATTTGGTAGCCCTTTATAGATCGAATACAGCAGGTGTACTTCCAGATTATTTTTGTTTGTATCCCAATCAGAATATTTGATATATTAGTGAGGAGCAAAAAATTATTCAAGATTATTAAAGTTTCAGAGGCCTTTGCATCAATATCAGACAAACCCTGCACTTGCTGTTCAGATAAGTATCTTCAGCGTTTTAATCTGTAAATCATGTTCTCTTCTCCTTTAGAACAGCACAAATAATGGTATGGTTCAGGGGTAGTCAACCTTGGCTCTTTTATGACTCTTGGACTTCAACTCCCAGAATTCCTGAGCCAGCTATGCTGACTCAGGAATTCTGGGAATTGAAGTCCACAAATCATAAAAGAGCCAAGATTGCCTACCCCTGCTATTTCAAAATTATAAAGCAAGGATGAAAAGATAATATATGGAAACTATTCTGCACCTGAGTGAAATGATATGCATGACCACACGGGGACTTTGATTTACAACAGTTCATTTAGTGACTGTTTGAAATTACAATGTCACTAAAAAAAGTGAGTTATGATCATTTTTCACACTTACGACCGTTGCAGCATCCCCATGGTCACATGATCAAAATTCGAATGCTTTGCAACTGACTCATATTTATGACGGTTGCATTGTTCCAGGGTTATGTGATCCTCTTTTGCGAACTTCTGACAAGCAAAGTCAATGGGGAAGCCAGATTCACTTAACAACTGTGTTACTAACTTAACAACTGCAGCGATTCATTTAACCACTGTTGCAAGAAAAGTTGTAAAATGTGACAAAACTGTCTTGCTTAACAACAGAAATTTTGGGTTCAGCTGTGGTTGTAAGTCAAGGACCACCTCTACAGTATTACACTTGAAATATTACCATCGCTTTGTTGATTCAAGCTGGCTGCTCAACATCCCATAATAATTATGTGCACATATCATTGCTGGTCCTCACCCTGGATAGTGAAAATGATACGTATTACATTTGGCTCATTAAATATCATAAAATGTAATAAAAATATTAACATTCTGACTGACCTCTTGTCTGTTTCTTTTCTTTCTACAAGTGTGTCTTGAGATTGGAATCTGCTGAATTACTAAACTTGTAGTCATTAAAATGTGCAAGTGGTTTGTGAAATGTTTATCTAATGTATCACAATCCTATGATGTCAAATAAAATGTAGGATATAAGATATGAATTTAAACTCATCAGATTTCCACCCACACAATATGAGGATCCTTTGATATCTAAGATCATAAATTGAAGGGTTTTTTTTAAAAAAAAACCTGAGCTTTGATAGACATTAAGGTGCAAATAATGTTTTCGTATGTTAGTGCTGAATGGGTA